CCGGTACCTCATGGCTGCAGCCATTGCTGCAAGAGAGCACAAAGCAAGGTATGGTTTCCTCTCATGTCCAGACCTCCCCATCCCATACATGTCACTTCCCTCCTCCTCCCCTCCAAGACGTAGCATCCCGAGCTTGCGCTGACACCTCGCTTGTTCTTGCACCTTCTTGCCTGGCCTCATACTGCACCCTCCCTTGTTCCTGTTCCCTCCACCTGGACAGACAACCTACTACTAGCCTGCTTCTGCACTCCAGCTCCCTCCCAGATCCTGTGCCTCATCCCTATCCTACTTGCTGGCAACCATGTTTCACGCACCGTATCCCTCATTTTTGTCCCTACCTCAGAGCCTAAGGAGTTACATTAAATGCACTAACTCCAGAACCCCAGAAAAGTAAATCTGGTCTCTGGGAAGCCCTGAACCTCAGTCCCCCTTTCCCTTCCCTTCCCTTCACCCCATGAGGTTGGGGCACCAGAGGAGTGAGGTGTCTCAGTTGGGGCCACAGTAGTGTGCATTGGGGGTTTTTGGATGAGTTCTTTGCTTCTCACTTATGTGGTCCCCAACTGATTTTTCTTTTTTGGGGGGGTCAGCAACCCCAGACCCAAAAAATGTTCCCAACTCTCCCATAATAAAGAAAACATTGAAACCTTTTGTGTTGGATATATTTTACTTGATTTAAAATAAAGGTTGACTAACGGAGAGTTAAAATACTTAATCTGTTTCATAATTTAAATTAAATTGTTCTGACTAGCTGCAGCTGGTTCATAAAATAAAGTCACTGTACTCAGCAGGGTAGTTCTCAGCCCTGCTCCTTCTGCCTGAGGCACTGCCCCTTTCGGATCAGCCTGTGGCCACTTCTGAAATTTGTGAAGAGATCCCTCCCTCCTTCTAAAATTATTGCTCACTCCTGTTCTAGAAACAGAGTAAGACCTGATCATGCTTATCATTAAATAGACTAGAGGTCCACAAACTGTGGGGCAGGCTCTTTGCCAGAGGGGACACATGGCTGAGGCCCAGACCAATGCCCATTGGGTATAGGAAGGGAGCACAACCCGGCTCCACTCCTGGCTACACACCTTAGCTGTCCTATTTTTTGCTGACAAATACTTAGAGCTATGCCAGGGCAGAACCCAGGTGTGTCTTTGTGTCACTTTTTAAAAATGCTTCTGTACCATGAGATCACTTATCTTGGGAATTATGAGCCATAATTATGATCATTTTTATTTGCTGAGGGGACAAAGGGCAGAGGCTTTGTTGTTATTGTTTTGTTTGTTTTGGAGCTTTTTTTTTCTCATTGTGTATTCAAAAATATTGTCTGTCTTTAGTATTCCATATAAGTGGTTTAAATTGTTTTACAAGAGTTTAGGTAGCTTCCAGTTGTTCTAAAGAATCCTTCAATAGTAAAGAATATAAAATCAAGATCTTTTATAATGCATGTCCAGTAAACAGTCTCACCATACCTGGGTTGCACTGTTTTCACATGGTGTCTTAGTGCTCACTCATTCATCATAATCACTTCTACAAGATGGAAATTTTATGGCTATTTCCATGGAAAAGATTTCTTCATCTTCTATATAGAGTCACAAGGTAGGGAAGGTAATATTTACTGGAGGAATTTCTGTTGGTGAGAGAACTGTATGGCCCTGTTAAGTTGATGATTTTGAGGTACAGAGTTTGTTTTTAACTGAAAATGATTTAATATTGTCTAATAGATGAAGAAAAAGCAAAATTGGATCCATCTTACTATCTGAAAAATACAAACGCAGAGACCCGAGAGACTTTACTGGAGCTGTATAAAGAATTCAAAGGAGATGATATTCTAGCGGCTACAATGAAGGCCCCAGAAAAGAGAAAAGTTGATAAGCTGAATGCAGTAAGTTGATTTTTTTAGTAGACACTAATTCTATTTCTCAAGAGTGGTAAAGGCTGTTTTTCAGTATAATAGCCATATAACCATCTGAACAGATGTTGCTGTTTACTGATGCTTGGGAACCTATCATACATCAGCAGCAATGAGAAAGGTGTAACTAAATTATATTACAATTCTTTAAAAATGCAGTGGGCTGTGTATGTCAGTGGATTTCATTTTGTGAAATATTTGTAAATGTACCTAAAATATGTTTGAAATCAGGTGTGATAAGAGATAAGTGCCCTTTAAATTTAGATTGTGATTGCCATGGTGCGAGTTAGGTGATAAAGGCTTTTTCTTCCAGCTTGTAATTCCTTGCTTTGCAATATTGTGTCATTGGCAGAAGAAATACAGCTTAAGGGCAATGTGAGTGAATCATACTTGATATGGACATATATATATAAATCACCAGAAACAGATTCAACATTTCTTCTTCACAGTATTTTTAATGGACTGTTGTAAAAGGTGCCCTTAGCTGATGCATATTACTGTGTGCTCATAGTTGTTGAGAAATAAGTCTGCATATTGAATGTTTGCATCAGTGTCTACTGGGATTGTGCGTGTCCCTGTGCTTAGATGACCACTGTTTGAGTATCAGTTAGTAGGAGTATGCCACATGATTTAAAAAAAGGGGAGTGGGAATTTAGATGGATGATGAATCCCAAGATATGAGAAGCTGCAAGGCTTGGATTTGACTTGCCATGTTGGTTCCTATTCAGGCAATTACACAATTAAAAAAAACATATTTAGGGGAAAAGATGGGATGAAATGGAATGTAAACTGTCTACATGTCACAGGAACAGAATGTCAGTTGGTAGAACTGGCAAAGCTTGATTGGCTTTTGATGAGGCTGTATAGTTTGAGGCAGAACATGCAGAAAACCAGGATTCTATACCCAGCACTGCCACTAATTTCAGTGGCTGATCTTGGGCAAGATGCTTCACTTGTGTGCCTCCTTTTCCCCTTTGTAAAATGAGGATAATAATTACCTCTGTAAAATGCTTTGAGAGCTATAGATGTATTTAATCTAACATATAAAGGAGAATGTTTGTGCTCTAATAACTTGGACACTATAAGAGCTACCGCAACCAAACTTTGCATGGGATAATCTTTCACCCAGAAGAAGGTTTTAAGATACTCTTGGACCCAATCATGCCCAAGCTCAAGTTGTAAAAATTAAAAAGTAACTCGCCACACTGCGCTGCAGGGTCCGCTCCACCCACCCTAGGTCCTGTGCCCGTCGCCTGCGGCCCCCAGCGCCACCTGAGACTTGACCCCTCCCACGCGTGAGGTTACATAAGCGACCCTCTTCCTCTCTCCCCCAGGCACACAGTGTCCTGACCCCCACGCGCACAATGGCTTGGGCACCTGCCCTGCCCCCCCACAGCACCTGCAGCCCCAGGCGCGAGCTGGGGCGCCCCCCCCGCGCCACCCGGAGTCGCATCCCCTTTCCCCGGGGATGACGCAGACCTATATTTTAATCCCTATAGAAATCAGTGCAACTTTTTTTTTCTGCCATTCAAAAAAATATAATGGACTACTGTTTTTCTACATTTTGTTCTTCCGGTTTTCTGAGCAACGCTGGGTAACTCCATCTAGTAAATATATAAATGACCTATGTGGCATTACTTATTGGTCTTGTATTTGTGTTTTTAACTCAATTTAGGATCCATGAGTGAAGTTCCATTTATTCAGAAACAAGGCTATAAACAGATATCAGGAGCCATGTGACAGTGGCCGATGAGGTGTCGCTCTGGGTATTCCCAAAGCCCCTCCATATGTTTACTAGGCCTTAATTTCACTTACGCAGAAGTCTTGCCAGCAGTCCTCCTTTTATATCTCCAGCTATGGATATAAAAATAATGCACAATAATAAAAACCCTTGCCTGATAATGTATTAAAATAAATTGATGTGGAAGCAATAAGCCCCTTGTGTCCAATGTCTGAACAGCTTTAAGTAGAAATTCATCAGTGAAAATGTTATAGGTGACAGATGGAAAAATACCACTTCATAGTGCCTCTCTTTTTATAAGTACTAGAGGAAAAAGCCTGCTTCAGATAGGAAACAGAAGACATTTATGTGCTCCTAGTAAGTAAGTGGTAATATTTTAATTAAGGAAATATAATTCTTTTTATCTTGGTTAATATTGCACAAGCTAACAATGAAAAGCCTTTATATAATTTTATCGCAACAGTATCAGACAACCTTAAAACTGCAGCAGTGGTGCATCTGCAGACGAGGAATCAGAAAAGTCTATGTATGTTTGCTATAGCATTATTAAAACTTGCTGTCCCTTTTTAGAAGATAGAGAATGCAGACTGTGCCACGTAACATAGCAACATGTCAGATCTTGTCATTTAGTTTAGCAACTATTAAGAAAAGGGGAAGATATTTGTATAATTGAAAGTGGTAGATAAAGGAGATGAAATATAACTTTTAAACAAAATGAAGAGACAGTTAAACTCTATATCAAAACTTCACTTATAGTTTTGCAACAAGTTTTTAGTGTTGTTTAAAAATGTGTTTAATATAGTGTGACCCTGTTATCTTAAAATTTTCATTCTACTCTTTTTGATAGTGCTTCCTTCTGAGATAAAAGATTCAGTGTTGTTCTTTTGCTGATTATATTGGCAAGACAGCAGAACTAGTGAATTATGATCATAATGGCTCTGTGTGATTTATGCTGTGTTTGATACGTGCTTCTCAAGTCTTGTAACTCCTTGTTAAACATTTTTTAATTCCCCCTTTCTTTCCCCTCCTCTCTGTCCCTTACTTGCAGAGACCCACACCTGTCATATATTTGGTACAAAAGCTTTCATTTTAGGGAGGGCAGAAAGGTTCAGGGCATTAAAGGTTATGGGATAATAGCCCTTTCCCTTTTGGCAATTACCAAAAGTTGTAACCATATGCTAACTATCTGTGATCTACATCAAATTTATTGATTGGTGTTAGTCCAATTCTGAGTAACTATTAGGTATGTCATAGCAAAAACTTATTGGTTAACGCTATTGACTACATGCATTCCCCC